AGTACAGCCACCACACATCACCACGCCCAAGGCCACACAGAGAAACCCTGTCTTGAAATAAAAATAAAAAGGAACCTGTCACCAGCCTGAGTGGGGAACAAAGTTTTCTGGTAACTGGTGGTTAGCCAGTAAAATTAAAACAAGAGCGCTATTATAGAGAACCCTGCTGAAGGCATTAATGGATTTCCCAGATGTTTTTATTAGAACTGGTAAACAGTATATATTACTTTCTTGCTGGGACCAAAATACTTGGAAGGTCCCTCTGTCCCCACTGCATTGCACTCACAATCACATACCTCCATATGGACACATCTTAATGCGCACAATGAAATAAAAATAAAGGCCAATAAGGGAACATAGGAATCCTATGAGAAAAAAAAATAAAAATAATAAAGGGGGCTGAAAAGGTGGCTCACCAATTAAAAGAACTTACCGTTCTTCCAGAGAACACAAGTTCAGTTCCCAACACCCAAGTCCAGCAGCTCACAACTGCCAATAATTCCAGCTCCTGGCGATACAGTGCAGTGGGCACCTGACACACAGACACACACACACACAATTTAATAAAAAATTAAAAATCTTTTGGTTTTGTTTCCTGAGACAGGATTTCTCTATGTAGCCTTGGCTGTCCTGTACTAGCTTTAAAGTCAAGGCTGGCCTCAGACTCACATTGATCTACCTGCCTCTGCCTCTCTGAGTGCTGGGATTAAAGGCGTGCATCACCATGCCCAGCAATCGGCCTGCTTCTTTGCCTCCTCCCCTCAATACTGGCACTAAAGGTGTGCACCATCGTTCCACTAAAATAAAATATCAAAATAAAAATAAATGATAAGAGGTAGGGTCTAGTGAAAAGACCTCTGGGGTGTGCCTTTGAAATGGCTATTGGGGGCTGGAGAGATGGCTCAGACGTTAAGAGCACTGTCTGCTCTTCCAGAGGTCCTGAGTTCAATTCCCGGCACAACCTGGTAGCTCCCAACCATCTATGAGATCTGGCGCCCTCCCCAGGCCTGCAGGTGTACATGCAGATAGGGTACTCATACCTAAAAAAAGGATATCTTTCTGGTCCATTCTTTTTTTTTTTTTTTTTTTTTTGACAAGATCTCTAGCTTCTCTTTTTGACAAGATCTGGCTGTCTTGGACTTTATAGACCAAGCTGGCCTAGAACTCATAGAACTGCCTGCCTCAGTCTCCTGTCTTCTCTTTACTTTCGTCTCATGACAAGGTGAAAGGTCTTCTCTGCTACATGCTTCCTCTGTGATGTTTTGCACTACCACAGGCCCAAAGCAACATGGCCACAGCCAAGCAGCCGGAGAATAGAACTCTGAAACTGAGCCAAATAACCCTTTCCTTTCCTTTCTCCCTTTCTTGAGATTGTCTCACTATGTAGTCCTGGCTGGCCTCAAACTCAGGATCCTATCTCCTCAACCTTAAGTCTGCAAATATAGGCATGTGCCACCCATGCCTTTCCTTAAGTGTTGTTTGTTTTTGTTTTTTCAGGCTGGGCCTCAAACTCACAAAGATCCGCCAGCCTCTGCCTCCCAAGTGTTGGGATTAAAGGCAAGCACTACCACTGCCTGGCTCTTGAGACAGGGTTTCTCAGTGTAGCCCTGATGAAACGGAGTAAGCTTAGCAAGGAAAAATAATAAACAGGTTGAAAAGAAAAGGTGTAGTAAAAAGTGGAAACGGAGCTAAATCCTGTGTTCGAGGAGATTAACAGATGAAAGATTTTAAATGGAATAAAGGAGATGGTGACCTCAGAGTGAGATCCCACTCAGCTAAGTTTCTAACTTGCAAAAAGAAATAACAGTTTAGGTCCAGGCGTAATGGTATAAGCCTGGGATTCAGCACTCAGGACACAAAGGCAAGCATATATATATACATATATGTATATCTGAGTTTAAGGGCAGTCTGGTCTACAGAGCAAGTTCTAGCATAGACAAGCTTAGGCAGTAGAGGAAACTATTGAACACAGAAAGCTGGTGAAGAGAAGATGTAATTGAGAGAGAGGTCCCTATTCCAGCCCCAGCAAGTGCAGCACTTGGCAGCTTTGGCCGTAATCGTCTGGCTTTAGAGTCAAGGATAAAAGAAAAGGGACTCTCCCTCTGAGACTAAGGAAAGTTGCTCCATGGAGGCCCAGAGGCCATAGTGTGACGATGTGAAGGTGAAGCCTGGATTGCCATGGAAACTCCGAGAGGTTAGAGATGACAGAGCTGTGGGATACCTGCCAAACAGAGCTGCAAACAAACAGGATTGGAAACTGCTCAGGAGACAGAAGTGTGGTGCAGTCAACAAAGCTGAGAGGCGTTAGAGAACTGAAGAGCATTTTGATATCAGACATGGAGGTCAGAGTGTGGAGGTAGCCCGGTTGGTCTATGTTCTCATTTTGATTTTATAGGGGATTATAGTACAGAGATTACATGAACTTCAGAGGAGACTTTGGACTCTTAAACAGGGTTGAGACTGTTACAGACTATAGGGACCTTTGAAGTTGGACTGAATACATTTTTGGATTATGTTATGGCTACAAGCCTATGGGGGTCAGAAAGTGGAATATGGTAGTTTGTACAGGTTTGGCCCCCATAGATTCATGTGTTTGAATGTTTGGTCAGGAGTGGCTCTATTAGAGGTGACCTTGTTGGAATAGGTGTGGCCTTGTTGGAGGTATGTCACTGTGGGGGGCAGGCTTTGAGGTCCTCTATGTTCAAGCTATGCCCAGTGTAACAATCTCCTTTTGTGGCCTTCAAATCAACACGTAGGACTTTCAGGCCCTTCTCTAGCACCATGCCTGCCCGCACACTCCCATGATAATGAACTAAACCTCTGAAGCTGTAAGCCAGGCCCAACGTTTGCCTTTATTGGAGTTGCCTTGAAGGCTGGGCATGGTGGCGCACACCTTTAATTCCAGCACTCAGGAGGCAGAGGCAGATTTCCTTGAGTTGAGGCCAGCCTGGTCTACAGAGTGAGTTCTACACAGTTACGGCACAGAAAAACCTTGTCTTAAAAAACAAAAGCAAAAAAAAAGTTGCTTTGGTTGTGGTGTCTCTTCACAGCAGTAAAAAAAAAGACAGTGCTGGATGTTTATTATCTCAGACTGGGGCAAGAGGGATGGAGTAAAGGGACCCAGGAACATTTGTGGAAGTCAGAGGACAACTTTTAGACTTGGTTCTCTCCTTCCACCACCTGAATCCTGGAGTTTGAATAAGGTCCTCAGGTTTGGCATCATGTTGTACCTACTGAACCATTTCATTGGCCACGCGGAGGACTTTTAAATGAAAATTAGGTTGACTTAAGTTTTTATGAAATGAGGAAATATGACACAGCCTCAGGATGGTGGAGTCAGCGAAGCTGTAAGGTATACTGCAGGATGTGGTGTCAGTGCAGACCCATAGCGCAGATTTGGAATCCTAAAAAGACACATATATGCAGGAATCTTTTTTTTTTTTAAGACTGTCTCATGTAGTCCAAATGTGGTAATGTCTTGATCTCTGGCCTTATCTTTTTTTTTTTTTTTTTTTGAGATAGGGTTTCTATGTAGTGTTGGCTGTCCTGGAGCTCTCTATGTAGAACAGGCTGGCCTCAAATTCATTAACAGACATATAGTTTGGTAGAACACCAGACTACCACGTCAAGAGCTCAGTGCCCTAGGTTCAATCCTCAGTATTGAACAAAAACAAAACAAAAAAAACATTAAAAATTTTCTGAGAAGTTAAAGATAGATTTATCTTTAACTTATCTGGTTTATTTTTCCATGTATATACATTTATATTTTATACATGTGTATAACCAAGTATACATTTAATATCACAAAAAAAACCCCATGAACATAAATGAGAGCCAGAAAGAATGTGATCACTACAAGATTTCCTATTCAGAAATGAGGTTCTATATAGCACATGAGGCTAGTAAGTCCCATAATGACCACCCAACCCTCATCAACCAACTACCCACAACAGAAAAACAAAATCTCTCAGAAAACAGAGGAAGACTCCAAAGTAGAAGTCCTATTAGCTCACAATGAAAATAAGCACATTGGGCTATGGGACCAAACAGTTCCACTGTGGGATGGAGCAAATGATCAGTAGGGGCAGGACTAAGCTGGTGGCAGGGGACAATTTTCAGTAGGATTCAGCCGTGGCTGGGTTAATGCTAGCAGTGTATACAGAAGCAAAAGCCCTCCAACAAGTGAGAGACCACAGCTCACAGAAGCTTGCATAGCTTGAGGAGTACCTGGGCTACTGAAGGATCCTTGAACTAAAGCAACGGAAGTAAATGAAATGAGCCAGTCTGAGCACAGGTCTGTCTTTTGATGCTGAGGTACAAGTGTCGAGGAGGTCACAACAGCCTCTAATAAAAGGCTAGTAGCCTAGCCAGCAAGGTGGCTGATGCCTGTAATCCCACCCAGCTCCCGGGGGGAGGAGGGGGTTTGAGGCAGGACAGCTACTGAGTGGGTTAGTGATTCCCATGCAAACCTGGTTTAGAGACCGTCTCAGGATTACAGGAAATTAATACCCTGAGGAAATCAGAAAAATTCAAAGACAATCAAGACAGTGGTAAGGAGTAGGGAGAGTGGTACCCTGACCACAGACACCCTCAGGAGAGGACAGGTGGCTAAGGTGAAGAGAGATGGGGTACCCGAGGTGTCATTCATACGGTAAGCAAGCACTGCTGCAGTAAGGGACTAGGAGGAAGGGAAGCAGTTCCTAAGGCACCATGGGATTTGTCCTGAGCTACGCCTAAGAGGCACATGTGTACTGGGTCCCCGGCTACAGCCTCACCTGCTGGAATCAGTACTGAACGGAAGCAGTAATGAAGTAGGACTGCTGTTACTTAAACCACAGCACAGGGGGAGGCACCAAGTGCCCAGACAGTTACCTGCAGCAGATTCCAGCCAGAGCCCATTTCCTTCCCATTCTACCCACAGCTGACCAAGGCCTCCGACATAGAAGAGGCTTCACTTCACCATGAGCTTCCCTCCACACAGAGAGCCACTCAGACACCAGTGTAAGTCATTACCCACCAGGGGTTTAATTCTATTAGGTCAGTTCAGAAAGGAGCCACGCCTTGTCCCCATCCAAAGGAAAAGATCTGCAGGGCACCCTGGGAATGTCCACGCCTAAAAAAGCCAAGGGGTAGTCCCTGAGCAAGTAGAGAAGTGGGTCCTGGGGGCTCAGGCTGCCTCCTCCTCCTCCTCTTCACTCTCCTCCTCACTCTCGTGATACTGTCTGTGATTGGTGTTGACAAAGAGGTCAGAGTCATCTTCAGAGCCCGACTCTTCTCCTGACAGGGGTGGCTCAGCAGGGAGCTCTGGCTGACTCTGTCTGTGTGAATGAGACGACAGAGTGAGTAACATCCACTAGGGAAACCAGGTCTATAACCCAGTCTTAAAACATGACTAGTGAAAAAACAATTAAAATCTACTACACAGTCAGGAACTGACACGTCTTAAAAATCCAAGAGCTCCAACCCTGATGTGGTGGCACATGCCTAGTATTTAGGAGGCTAAGGGATGGTAAGTCTGAGGGCAGCCTGGGCTACATGTGATCCTGACTCAGGAAACAAAAGCTTCAGTGAGGAATCAACAGCAGCTTTGCTAGTGTCACTGACACAGAGAGTTCACATTTTCTAGCAGCTGATGCACTAAGCCAGTGGTTCTCAACCTTCCTAACTTGTGGCCCTATAACACAGTTTCCTCATTGTGCTGACTCCCACCATACAATTATTTTGTTGCTACTTTATAAGTGTAATTTTGCTGTTCTGTTTAATATAAAGATCTGACCTGGGACCCCCAAATGAGCCTTAACCCAAAGGTGAGAACCACCGTACTAAGAACTGCATAAGTGTTAGCTTTCTCACTCTCTGTATAATTCTATCTCTTAGATGAACTTGTTTTAAGAAAAGGTTTCATGTAGCTCAGGCTGGCTTTGAACCTGTTATATGTAGACCATGATGGCTTCAAACTTGTCCTCAAACTTTTTAAGTGCTGGAATTACAGGCATGTACCACCACATCCAGTTAGGAACATGTCTTAAGATATGAAATAATGCATCTAAAGTCACTTGCCTATTAAGTAGCAAAGCCAGCATTTTAACTCAGAGCATGTGATCTTCAAGCCATACTCGTAACTATGCATTCTACTCTATATGCTGGAATTCTCAACAGGAGAAAAGCAGGATCACCTTTCTCCTTGAGGCACCAAGGTGTGAACTTGTACTTTTTGTCTTCCCTGGGCTGGGGCTTTCTCCTCACCTGTTCACATTGTTTTGTTTCTCAGCTACCTCAGAGAAGGCCTCAGGCCTGTGACAAGAGAAGAGCTTGGTTAGAGAGCAAAGAGAAATCTCTCAGCAAATCAGTTGTTTCCAGATGTCCCCCTTGGGATGGCATAACCTTCTCTAACCCTTTTCCCTAGCTAGGATGATACTATCCCCAGAAGCCAGAGGGCCAGTGATCAAGATTATCCTACCAGTGCCCTTCCTTCTGCAGAGAGCGGACATGGTTCTTGCAGAGCACAAAAGAGATCTCAGCCTTCACTTTTTCTCCCTCTTCAATTGGGTCAACAATGAGGAAGTCCCCTGTAGATGACAAAGATAAACCCATTCCTATGGTGAAGGAGGAAGTCAAGGCCACGGCTCTTTATTGTGAAGGGCGCTTCTAACCTCTCTTGATCCAGATGTTCTTGCGGTATTTGGAGGGCATGCTCACCAGGAAGCGCTGCCCTTGTGCTGTCTCTACCTCATGCAGATTGTTCCCGGGAGTCCTGAGGACCTGGTCCATGAAAGACCAAGAATCAGCCAAGTCATCAGTCGGATCAAGCATGCTCTGACCTGCATGGAACCCTCTTCATGCCCCAGGGGTCCGATGGGAGTGGAAGGGAGGACAGAAGAGCTTGGACAGTACCACTCACTTTCACAATCTGCTGTTGATCGGAAGGCACCATGTGCTCCCCCAGCATCTCCTGCACCACATGCTTCCTCTTGGTGGCCTGAGACATGCTGGGTTCTGTCCAGGGTTGTTAGGATGCACGGACTGTCAGCTCGTCTTCCAGAGTTATTTGGATGGCGGTCTTAGAAGCCAGGACTGCTTTCAAGAGCAGCAGCCTTATACAAAAAAGTGCCACCTTGCCCTGTTAAAGATGTGATCTTTAGGGGACTGGATGGCTTTCTGCTCTCACAGAGAATCTAGGTATGGTTCCCAGCACTCACACAGTTAACAGCTGCCCCTCATCCCAGGCCCAGGGGATCCAACAGGCACTTTTGGAGAAATACATGCAGGTAAAAACACTGATACACATAAAAATGTAAGAACATTAAAAAACAAAACACAAGCTGTTTTAGCCAGGTTGCTGGTGTACATCTTTATTCCCAGCACTTGAGAGGCAGAGGCAGACTGATATTTGTTGAGTTCTAGGGCAGCCTGGTCTACATAGGAAAACCTTATCTCAAAAACCAGACATGACCTTTAAGGGCCAGAGAGGTCTCAGGACTCAGCATCCACATCAGATGGTTCATAACCATCACTAGCTCTAGGGGATCCAACGCCCTCTTCTGGCCTCCAGAGGCACTTGCAACACCCCTACACAGTAAATCTTAAAAACAAAACAAAAGTTTTTGTTTTTTTTGAGACAGGATTTCTCTGTGTAGCCCTGGCTGGCCTGAAATGGCTTTGTAGACCAGGCTGCTCTTGAACTCAGGGATCTACCTGCCTCAGTCTCTCTGGGATTAAAGGCTTTTCCCACTACTCCAGGCAGAGACACATTTATAGTCTCGGCTGGTGTGTGTGTGGTTCCAGCCTTTAATCTCAACACTCTAACCCCAACCCACAGAGGCTAAGGCAGGCGAATTTCTGTGGAGCAAGGAAGCAACCTGATCTACGGAGTGAGATGCCCTCTCAATAACAAACAAAACATTAAGTAAATAAAACGAGATCGTGGAAAAGCACCCAGCACAGGGCAAATCCTATGAGAGATACTTCTAAGCACTGCTGTGATAATGAACCCATTCGCGTCTCCCAGGCTGATCATTCTGACAACCTCTCTGGGAGAAGTTACAGATAAACTGCGTGCTTGAACGACCCCCGCCCCAGTCTAGGACAGTCTACAACGCTCGACCTCCTAACACACCAGAGACACTGACTGACTCGCTGACCATCACGACACTTCAATCTGAAAGGCCCTTCGAGAAAAGACCCACTCGCAGCACTCACCCGCTCGGCGCTACACAAGCAAGCTCCGTTTTCCAGGTTGACGGTGAAAGCAGCTCGTCCACGACTCACTTCAAGACGGAGTCAACGAAAGCAAAGAGATGCGCCTCGCAGGTGGTCGCGATGGTAGCGCCGGTCTGGACGCTTAGCCTCAAACCTCCGGTGTTCCTACCTTTCGCCAGCGGGCTTGAGGAGATAGACCTGACACTGAGGAAACCGCGCCGAGACTTGCACTTCCGGGGCTCTCAGTGGCCCTCCGGATGCCCCGCCCCTTTGTCCTTTCCTTTAACTCGTCCCTCGACCAAATCGGGCAAACCTAAGTTCCAGGCGCCGGGCAGGAAAAAGACAGACGTATTCTCCAAGGAGGCCTCGGTCCCGCAGACGGGAAGGGCGGCCAGAGAAACAGGACCATAGAAAGCAACGTGGCTTCCCGTGACGGAACGGAAAACGACGACTACGGTGGGCTCCGCGGCTCGCCGCTGAGCCTCAACTCTATGGCTCCGGGTGGCTAGACGCGCCCAGGGTGGGGGATTTCTTTTTAAGGAGGCTCATAAGACGACCCGGAAGCGGAAGTCGAAGAACGTTCTAGTAGCTTGAGGTGTCGGCGGGAGCGGCCGAGCGGCGCGGGGAGCCGTTAGCAGAGCGGAGCCACCGGTGAGCGTGAACAGCGGAGGAGGGCTCCTGCTGGAGGTCGGAGGCCGCGCGCGGAGGCGGGGGGGAGAGGGGTCCCCATCGCCGAGGCGCGCCTTTGCAGCGGAGTGGCCGGGCCCCGCGGCAGGGGCGGCGCCAGGAGCGGCGGCGCGTGGAGGAGGCGGGGCGGGGCGGGGCGGCGCGCATGGGGCGGGTCCTGCGGGACCAGGGAGGCGTGGGTGTCGGCGGGCCGCGGGAGCCGGTGTGCGGCGCTCGTCGGCCTCTGGAGGGCGACGCGGGTAATGAGACCCTCTTATGGCTATTCCTACCACGTGGTAGTTCGCAACGGGGTCAGTGTCTGCCTAGTCAAGGTCACCGAGAGTGACAGCTTCTGGGCGGCTCCTGGCTACCGAGTCTAGGAGTCTTCCTGTTGCCCTACGTGCGCCACCTGTTAGAGCAAACTAGTATTTCCACCCGGTCAATACCCAAACCCAGGGCCCGTAGAAAGTGGATATTTCCGAATAGCCGGGTGGTGGAAAAACCTTCCCCGACTCTCGGCGTTTTTAGGTGTGAAGTAAAGAGGAATCGAGGCAGCCACAGTAGCTGACCTGGGACATTGCCTTTGGGAGTTGAGGTCTTCAGCCCTAACCTGCTTTTTTTTGGGATTCCCAGGTTAAGCCTGATCAAGATGACAACCTCCCAAAAGCACCGCGACTTCGTGGCAGAGCCCATGGGGGAAAAGCCAGTGGGGAGCCTGGCCGGGATTGGTGATGTCCTGGGCAAGAAGCTGGAGGAAAGGGGCTTTGACAAGGTGTGGGGTGGTTACAAACACTAGGGAGGGTTAGGAGTGAAAGTTGGCAGCAGATACCTACATTCATCTTGGGAGTGAGGAAAAGTAGGGGTATGGGAAGGGCAGGGACAGTGGTGTATAATTTGAAAGGGCCACTTCCTTCATTTGTGTGTGTATTTTGGTTTGGTTTTTGAGACAGGGCCTCTGCCTCACAAGTGCTGGGATTAAGTGTCCGTTGTGTCCCGTTCTTTTGTGTGTTTTAGATGCCAAAAGAGTGAAAGTAGGCATAGTGGGTTGTGCCTAAGACCCTAGCACTTGGGAGGTTGAAGCAAGAGGATTCCCATTAAGTTTAATGCCAGCCTAGGCAACAAAGAACAAACCCAGTTAAACAAAACAACCAAAACAAAAATGGCCTTGCCCTCCCCAGTACTCACCAACTTACCCTGCCTAGCTTCAGAGATCTGACCCCTTCTGGGTGGAGTCAACATAATCTTGTTGCTGTTAGCCCACAAGACACTTAGCCACATGCCCTTTTCTGTTTTGCAGGCTTATGTGGTCCTTGGCCAGTTTCTGGTGCTAAAGAAAGATGAAGACCTCTTCCGGGAATGGCTAAAAGACACATGTGGTGCCAATGCCAAGCAGTCCCGGGACTGCTTCGGGTGCCTTCGAGAATGGTGTGACGCTTTCTTGTAATGCTCTCTGGGGACCCCTAAGCCCCCTCCCCCCAGCTACAGCATAGCGTCTCCAGAGTCTGCCACCGAGTGGGCTCCTCCCTGTCCTCCACGAAGGAAAAGATTGCTGTTGTCACACTAACCTATGTACTCCAGGATCTTTTAGGAGTTCTCTCCCTTCACCGTTTCATCATTTTTGGAATTCTTGACCTTGCATGCCTTGTCCCCCACCCCCACCCTGCCCCCAGTTCATGGCAACAGTTACCAGCTTTTCTGAATGGATTCTGGGCCCTTTTCTCCCTGCCTTCACAATCCATTGGATGCCCTTTTGATCCCCCCTCCCCCTTTGGCAAAAACAGTCACTGTGCTTATAAAGATTTTTAGATGAATAAAGTCATTGGCCTTCATAATTGGTGTTGTGTGTTGGATAGCAAGTGAGCTGGGAGTTGTGTATTCCCCAGGGGCTGAGCTCGTCTTCACTCCTTATCAGTGCAAACCGAAACTGGTGGCTTCCATTTCCCCTCCCAAGAGGGAGCCACCCTAGCCATGTAGGCTTTGGGCAGGTGCCCTAGGTGTCCCAATTCCTAAGTTATGTGGGAGAGAGTGTGGGTTGATTTCTTCCTGGGAGCCAGGTAGGCTGTAGGCTTCCAGATGTCAAGTCAACAGTTGGTCTAGGCAGCACCTGGTGGAAAAGTCAGTGGGAGTCAAGGGTACCAGGAAGAGGGTGGGTAGGATGTGGGTAAGAGTTCAGCTGCCAGTCATCATATCATGTGTTCCTTTAGTCTCTGGGAAGGGTTGGGACTGGTGCTTGTTTGCCCAGCTATCAGGGAAGGAAAGGGTTAAACTTGAAAACTAAATAACCAGCCCTGACTAATATCTTTGTAAACATTTCTTAGTTTTTTTTTATTTTGGAGAGGTAAAGGTATTTGGGGCTCAGAAAAGCTAATTTGCTCATGAACTTGCTGCGGGAAAATAGCCAGTGGAATTCAGATTGTAATTTGGGAGCCTGTGATCCTATGTCATGTAATTCATGCCCTCTGAGTTTTCTCATATGGAAGGTTGCAGGCCTAGGTAAAATGCTGTGTAACACTCACTCCTGCTTAATGTTCATTTCTCCAATTGCAAGAGCATCATTGAGCAGTGACTTATAGTGCAAGAACAATGCTTTTCTGCATGTTTACTGTCCAGGAAGGCGGGGGGCACTACAAGACTGGGCATAGTATGAGAACGTTATCATGATTCCACAATAAAAAGACTACTAGAGTGTTAATCTGAAGCCTGAGTAAAGACATGGGCACAGAGTGGGGAGTACAGTTTATAATAAAGTCATTACCCCATATACACAGCAGGCCTGCAGGTAAGAAAGTGTCTGGAACCAGGTGTGGCACACTCAGGGAGCCAGAGGCAGGTGGATCTCTGTGAGTTTGAGGCCAGCCTGCTCTACAGAGTGAGTCCAGGACAGCCAAGGCTACATAGAGAAACCCTGTCTCAAAAAACGTGGCTCAGTTGGTAGAGTGCTTGTGGTTCATTAGGAGATGTGAGCATGAGGATCTGAAGTTCAGGGTCTTCCGTGGCTACAAAGCAAGTTCCAGGCCAGTCTAGGGCTCATGAGATTCTTCTAAGTGGTCTGCGGAGATGGCTGTAAAAACAAGAGGACCCACATTCAGATCCATAGCACATAAAAAGCAGGCATGCATGGCTGCATGAGCCTGTAACACCATCACTCCATTGTGTGGGGTAGAGAAAATCCAAGGTCACTGGCCAGCCACCCTGCCTGAGGCAGCTTCCAGTTCTGTGAGAGACCCTCTCCAACAAATGAGATGGAAAACAACAGAGGAAGATGCCCAACATCATCCTCTGGGCCCCACATGATTAGAAGAAGGAATCACCCCTCAGCGCATACACAGGAAGAGGGGACATGGCTGGGGGTGTGGTTTCATGGTAGGGTGCCTAGCATTTGTGAGGCCCTGTGTTCAATCCTTAGTACTGCAAAAAGAAAAGGGACAACATAATAGGGAACTTGCTAGAAGATCTGAAAGGCGGCCCCAAGGGAACAATTTAAAATAGTACGTGGAAAGGGTTCACTTTCATTAGAAATCAGAAAAAACAAGTGTCACTAATGCTTACCTGATTGGCAAAAAGTCTTAAGTCAGACAATATCAAGTGTTGAGCAAATGGAGCAACAGGAACTGGTCCCCAGTTGGTGGGAGTAATTGCTATGAGCACTCTGGGAAAACAGCTGAGTGTTATTTTGCAAAGCTGACACACCCCATGAGCCATCAATTCCATTCTTAGGACTGTGCCTGAATACCTGCAGCAGGACCTCAGGAAATGTTCCCAGCTGGGTCTGTGAGAGCCTGCAGCACAGGCCTACAGGCCGTGGTTCCCAACGTGCGCTTAAGTGCTTGCAACTGCACAGCAGGGGAAGTGAACCAGAGCAGCAGTCAGAATAATCTCAGTATGGGACCATGACCCACAAGACTGTGTGGGTCCCTGGGTCGGGGGCGGGGGGATCTTTAATCCCTGAACTTGAGAGGCAGAGGCAGGTGGATCTCTGAGTTAAAGACCAGCCTGGTCTACAGAGTGAGTTCCAGGACAGCCAGGGCTACACAGTGAAACCTTGTCCCTCCAAAAACAAACAAACCCGAAAAGGGGGGAGGGACATTTTATTTTCAAGACTTCTGTGTTTGTGTCTTGCTGTGTAGTCACTGTGTGACCCAAGATGGCCCCAAGCTGGTGAAAATTCTGCCTTAACCTCCTGAATGCCGGGATTGCAGTCCTACACCATGACCTGCTTTCATTCATGTTCAGAAGCAAAGTCTTGCTTAGAGAGCCCTATAGAGACAGTAAAGATAAAAACAACAACAAAACAAAAACCAAGGAACTGCTCACTGTCAACAATTACTGATAGGTCCCAGGGGTGCACACTGCTATAGGGCTTGCTTAGGAGGCACAGTTCCCTGGATTTTAACTCAAAGAATTTAGAAAGAAAAAGGAAGACAAAACAAAACATGTCAATAGTGGAGAGGGAGGAATAACCAAACCAAATCTCTGGAGAAGGAAGGTTAGTGATAATAGAGGGTTTGTTTGTTTGTTACAAAACTTTTATTTATTTATGTATTTAATGTATATGAATGCTCTATCTTCATGTACACCTGCATGCCAAAAAGGGCATCAGATCCCATTATAGATGGTTGTGAGCCACCATGTGGTGCTGGGAATTGAACTCAGGTCCTCTAAGGAAGAGTAGACAGTGCTCTTAACTGCTGAGCCATCTCTCCAGCCCCTAATGGAGGGTTTGTAAGTGGGAGTGACATTTTCATTTTCTGGCGCCAGAGCTGGTAAAATTGTTCACTAACTATTGGATTGAACAGGTCTTCTAATGGAGCTAAGTGATTGAACAATAGCACCTAGCATGTGTTAAATCCTGTGTTTGATATCTGTCATCTCACACATGAGGAAAATGAACATGTGTGTTGTGTGCCCTGTTTTGTGTACTAGTGGTATTTCAGAACAATAAGATAAAAGCAGAAACAAAAATCACATCCCGAGGTGTGGCAGTGTGTGCCTGTAATTGTTGAAGGATGGTCTTGTATGCTGACTTCTGTGCGCTGAGATCTGGTTGCAGACCAGACGTGGGCATTATCATTTCTATGAAGAATCTCTGGTCTCAGTGTTGTATAAACATTGCTCAATTATCTCTGATTGGTTAATAAAGAAGCTCATTAGTCTATAACTGGGCAGAGGAGACAGAAGGCTGGACTTCTGTTCCCAGTCAGAGGGTCTCAGGTAAGGACCAAAGAAGAAGAAGAGAAGAGAGAGAGGAGGAGGTGGCCATGAGGACAGAGAGAGAAAGCAGGAGGCAAGGACAGACTGAGGCAAGTTCCACAGGGACGCGGCTGGGAGGCAGCCAGCTCAGCATAGATGGCTTAGAATAGATGAATTCTGCACAGTTACAGTGCTTCAAGCTCATTAATTAATATGATAGGTCAATTGTTTGGAAGCTACGGCGGGTATTAGAAAAGGCCTTTAATTCAACATATAATTTCAGCATCTGGGAGGCAGAAGCAGGAGGATTGAGAGTTGGAGACTAGCATCAGCTCTGTAGTAAGACAGTCCCCCAAAGCGTCAGAACAAGACAAACCAACCATAGCAAAACAAGATTTGAACTAACAATCAGGTGGTGAGTCCGAAACTGCTCTGACAGGAGTTTGTGTCCAGGCAAAGCCTACAGCCCAGCCTGGAAGAGGTAGCGCACACCCTCCACCGGTGGCTATGACCAGTAACAATGCTTGCACTTCCTGACGTACATCCAGGTACAAAGCGAGGTGTGGTTAGGCCGTCAGCAACGGCCTAAAGATGACAGGTGCAGGGGCAACCAAAACAGGAATAAAAACTCATTTTTTTTTTTTTCAGTCAGACATGGTGACACACACCTTGAAGACAGAGGCAGGTAGAGCTCAGTGAGTTCAAGACCAACCTGGTCTGTACAGAGAGTTTTGGGACAGCCAAGGAGAGAATAGATATCTGTCTCCAAAGAAAAATGATTTTATTCATAAAATATCTTTTTTAAATCACATGAATGTCAACATCTATGACCAAAAATCGCCTAAATTTTAAAGAGAGACAGAATCCAGCCTTGAATCAAACAACTCATCTCTCCTTGCCAGGAGGGTAGAGAGCCGGAAGGCACAGTGAGTGCCTCTCAACACATGTCTACCCCTGCTTCAGGAAAGTGAACATGGATACCTCAGCTTCCTGAAAAAGCCAATCCTCCGTTCCCACTGTGGCTCTGTGCCAGAGCCTCCCTTACTCCATGTTTGAGTCACTTACTCCGTGTTTGAGTCACTCGGCCAGAACACTCTACTTAATTGGCAGTAGAAAAAGCTAAAGGGAGCGTTGTGGACAGCTAGACTGGGCTCCCAAGTGGCCCTGACTAACCTGCCTTGTTGAGAGCTGGTGGCTTGCATCAAGTGCTGACCCTGGACGTGAATGCAGAAGACCAGTCTCTGGAAAGGACGTGGACCTCAGCCCCAGCCCCCAGCCATGGGTCCTGCATGGAGCCTGAGACCCTCGGTGCTTCCATCTTGACTAGTGCAGCCAGGCAGAGGCCTGGCTGAAGCTATCTTGACTCAGGCTGTCAGCCAGCATGGGGTAAAGGAAGGAGAGGCTGGCGCTTCCCTTTGTGGTAGGAGTTTCTTGGAAGGACTTGGGATCGGGCAGGGCTGTCTCATACTCTGTGCTGGACCACGATTGTACTTGGTCACAGAGAGAAGTGGCAGGCAGAGGGCTGACTGCTGGGAGGAGGAGGAGGCTGGCACCAAGCTCAGCCTCCTTGTCCACTCTCCTCCCTCCTCAGAAGCTGCGCTGCAACTTTGAGCTCCTTCAAATCCCCTGGAGGAACACCACT